CATAATTTCTACTAGGATCAAAACACACTGCTGAGCATTAGAATATAAACAAGATCGATATTATTTTATTATCAATTTATTTCTAATTGAAATTTTAACATACAGAATCTTGATTTTGTGGTGTATCAATTAAAATAGTAGTTTCATTATAAAATTTATTCTGTGGTATAATTTGATTATAATTAAAATACCAAGAAATTTTTTTTGATACATCATCTTCATTAAATACATGACAAACAAGTTTTAATGATTGGGCTTTAATAATTTTCATTGTTTGTGGTAATGATATAATTCTTGTTCGTCCTAAAATATAATATTAGTTTTGTTTTTGTTTTCGTTTGTTTTTTCTATACATACGACGAACAAGTAATGTTGTACGTGCATTTGCTGATCCAAGAATATTCTGTACTAAACATTCATATAGACCAGAATCATTTCGTATTGTATTTGATATTGATAAAACACCAGTTCGATGATTAATATGAAATCTTTCATGAATATTATTTAATAAAATTCTTTCATTATCATTTAAATTTACTAAATTTAAACATAAGAATATTTTCATTTAAAATCAAATAGAAAAAAAAAAAAAGAAATATTTATTTTACATTTAAACCAAGTTATATTTGGCCACGGTGATCCATTAACATTACATGTTAATTGAACATCAGTTCCATTAAAAACTATTAAATCTTTACTAACAGACACAGTCGGTGGTTTACCTTAAAAATAAAATTTTTTCTTTTTGAATTTAGAAATAAGATAAAAAAAAAAAAAAGAACTTTTACTTATAATTTTTAACCATGTTGAACGAGTATCTTCACCAACATCATTTGTTAAAAAACATTGATACATACCTTGATCATTCCATTCAATATCATTAATTATTAATTTATTTTCAATTAATTGAATTCTTTTATAATTTAAAATTAATAATTTAAAATTAATATTTAATTTTTTTTTTTCTCTTACTTCGATGATTGATTTATTAAACGAACAGCATTTTTATACCATGTTACATTAACATTTGTTGATGTTTGTGTACCATTACAAGTAAAAATTGTTTTATCTTGTAAATCAACATTTTGTATATGTGGAAAATTTGTTGTTATTATAGGAACACCTTATATAATTGAAATATTTTACTTGTAGAAAAATAATTATCTTATTTATTATTTACCTCGAACAATTAATTTTGCACTTGCATTTATAAATATGTCGGAATTTTTTATTCGAATATGACATGAATAAATTCCTTGATCATCAGCAATTATTCCACGAACTTCAAGTGTTCGATTATAAGGACCAATATGAAATCGTCCATTTGTTTGATCAATTAATATAGAATTTTTTTGCCAAATTATTTCAATAGAATTACTAGAACTAATTAGATAGAGAAAAAAAAAATCATTTTATTAGATTCTTTGATTTCGATGAAATAAAAGATTTTACTATTTGAAATTAGGTTCATAAGGTCAATACGAATTCTCTTTGAAATAAGGATTTCGTTTTTTTTTTTCAGTTTTAAGATAGCTCCTATAGGCACTTAGGTTAAGAATTATTTTTCCTGAGTTTTTCGGCGGATATTTCATCTGCAAGAAAAAAAAAACCTAGCTTACACCTTGGATCGGATCCAGAACAATTCATACATATTGATCTCTATCAAAGATAATGTTGTCTCATAGAAATCAACGTCTTTTCTTTTTTATTATATCTCGTTTTTTGAGTAGTTTTCTATGCAGCAAGTCGGGAACAACGTAAAGATCAATAGAAACGCAATACTACAAAAAAACTATACACTTATATAAGACTTTCGTATGTTTTTCAACAAATCCTTACAGACAAAGGCTAATAATAGGATCTTTCTCTGAGTATTGTTACCTAGTATATCTGGTCTAAATACAAGATCGAACTATGGATCTATGAAGAAAAAAAGTTGAAAAGAACTCGATGTTTCGTTACTTTTACTCCACCCTATAGTAGATATAAATCACAGAAAGAGTACTTTTTATTAGCATAACTTCTTCTCCACATTTAGAATTTTATTCTCAAAGATTAAACAGATTAACATCTAATCAAAAAATATTAGTGAATAGGATTTATACTCTGGTTCTTATTCAGGACAATGACAAATTAAGGATAAGACTATTGATCGATCTGGAATATCATGTAAACTTTATATAAAAATAAGTCTTATTGTTATTTATCAATATTTTGTTTATACCCAGAATTAGCAACACATTCAAATGATTTAATAGGATCACCAATAGTTGCTAATTGATCTGTTGGTTTAACAATAAATTCTGGTATAGAAATTTGTAATGGAGTTTTTCGTCGATTAATTTGTAAACGAAAATCTGATGATTGTTTTGTACCACCAACAAATATATTTTCAATAATAGCAAAATAAATTTTTTCATCTTGATATTCTGTATTAAGTATAACAAGATTATGTGTTGATGTAATAAAATATTTTTCATTAATTATAATACGTTTATTATCACGTGATAATGAACTACTTTTCATAAACCATTGTACACTTGGTTCAGGTGATGAATTTATTATTGGTAAATATAATATAATAGCATCAGATTCATATACATTTATAAATTGATCACGTTGATTATTAATTAAACTATCAAAATACCAAATAGTTAAATGTGTTGCTTTACTTGCAACAATTCCAACATCATTTTTTGCTAAACATCTATATGAACCTTGATCTTGTTTTTTAGCTGATGTTATTTCAAAATAACTAAATGAAGAAAAATTTGATGTTAAATTTTCCCATTCACGTAACCACATATATGTTGGAGGAGGATAACCAATTGCATTACAAGTAAAAACTTTACGAGAACCTAATGGTACATCATCATCACTGGATTCACGTAAAATTATTGGAGGTTGTAATTCTTCACCTATGTTTTTTTTTTTTTTTCAAAGATAAAAATTTATTAAGAATATCAGAAATAAAATTTATTTAATTCTTTTTTTACTTACTGAAAATTGTAACAAAAAGAGTATATACAATGCATAACAACTTGATAAACATAGGAAATGTATGTACATTCAATTGATAAAGAAATCTAAAATAATAATAAAGAAATATTTTGTTGCTTTTCTTTTCAATAAGTGACAGTTGACCGACCGTTGACACCTTTCAAAGGTATATGAATGTATGATTCATCTAGTGACCAATGACCTCACCTCGTTGGTTGACAATCGCCATATAATACTTGTTGTATCCTCTTTCCTCTCTCTCTCTCTCTCTATATATATATATATATATCAAAGATTGTTTCATCCAATTCTGTACATGTTTGTTCGTTGATGTATGGTGACAATATAAAGTATTTTAAAGATGTACAATTAATTTCTTCATAAAATTCAATTTTGTCAATATTATACTCATATATTTAGTTGATCTATATGTCAGTATGAAGCCATTTAAATTATCTATTAGATGATGTATAAAAAATCTGATAGAAGATTATTCTTTACTTTTTCTTATATGAAGATACAATTTAGATCGCATACCATCGATAAACTTTCATGATGAATATCATTTAATAGTCTTTCTCTAATGGAATAGCGGTTTACTTTGAATTTTATATCAATCGATAGATTTAATCGAAATCTTCAAATGATTGTCAAAAAAATCTATTTAACAAAATGAGATGATATATCTATTTTTTCAAATTACTTCGAAAAATGAGTGAAGTATTGACGAAGAGTAAATTTAGACTTATAGCGAAAAAAAAAAGAAGCAACTTATATTTTGACACTTGAGAATGCATCTGGAAGATTTTGTTGTTCGAAAAGTAAATTTATCACTTTTTTTTTTCTGTCAAAATATGATTTGAAACAATATGTATCTTGAATGGAATATATTTCATCTTTTTTCGAATTCTTTTTTTTTTTTTGCTAATATGAAGGTGCAAGTATCAATCACGTCTATATTCATTATCTCTTTTCCAATCGTGTTTTTAAATAGATGATTTTATTTTCATATTTGAATATAGTGGCTTTTATGACAACTTATTGATATTTTATAAAACGTACTTTTCTCATTTGCAAGTGTAGATCAATAGTTTGAAATCGATTAAAATATTCGATTATTATTCTAAATTTGTTTTGAAATATTTTGCTTTTCGTACTGTCTGAAAAGTAAAATGTCAGAACTATTTTTCATTTTCTTAAATTATATAAATATTTTTATTAACGTAATAAGTCGTTATCAATATCTTGTTTACGATAATTAAATTTAACTGTTGTTTGAAAAGTTAACTAAATTTACATGAAGTCTGAGTAAAGTAAGCTTCAAATCACTCCAAGTGCTATTTGACTCAAGGATATTATTAATCAATAGACCTTTAGATTCTTCAATCGCCAGATTCTACACCAAGTCATTTCCTTTTACAACGTTTGATAAAAGAGTCTAATATTATTTCGAAGGATACACTTCAATTCAACACAAACTAACGTCATCTTAATCTCAAGGAGAAAAATAATTTATGCAAGAAAAGAGATATTGCAGTTATTCTTCAATATATCTGAACTGACTTGACTTAGAATTAAGAAAATATCAACCAGAAAACTATCCTATGTTACCTATAGGCAGTCGATGAAAAAATTTTTCTTTTCAATTTAGCTTTCTCAAACGAAACGTCTAATTAAACCATAGTCAAATTCAAAAATATTAGGTCATATACTTTTATCTGTAAAAAATGCGAGCTGAAACAAGTATAAAGGACCTCTAAAAATCGCTATCTTGAGGGTCTATTCAGTACTGTAACATTATTTCACGAATAGATTAATTGTTTGAACTCGAAAATGTCTCAGTTAATAGAAAATAGTTTACACTACAAGTTCATTCTATTTCGATGTCTATCAAATAAAGTAAAAGAGTGCCATAGATAAAAAACTGTTGAAAACTTCAGAAATATTGCTCTCATACATAGCAGTATTTTGGATTATCCGTGCGTTTCGTCAAGAAAAGTCTTTTGTCATTACTTAATCCGGAGTAAATAACTCGAAGGACCAAGTGAGCATTGATTACATCATAGCCTACTCTTCTTATTGACTATTAATCCTGCACCTACAAGGTCAGTAATCTCTTTCAACATCGAAAAACAGAAATACAACTCATCTTTACTATAAGAAAATGAAAATTTTACAGTCAAATGAAGAAGTCAAATTTTCAGTATGCTGAAAAATAAGAAACGACAAAAGATTCAATGATAAAATTTCTGTTCTGACTAACATCACATTTTCTATGTCCAGAGAAGAAGAACTAGGGGTAGTTTGACGAAAAAGTATCTCAGAAATATTTGAAATATAAGAGGCGAATCAATATTCAGTAATTCTACATATGATCTCAAACTTGACTCAGGCTGTAGTTTTCGGACCGTACCTGGTCAAAGACTAATCAAATACAGTAACGTCGAGCCCCTAGAATAGTGCTCTTAAGTATGTGTCAATTGATTCGCATTCTTTAAGTTTGGAAATTGAAGTCCGTTTTTCGTTTTTGAAAGACATTTGAATGTGGATTGTGACTACGAATGGGCAGAGGTGTACATCTTAATGAAGAGACTCTCACCCAGAACTTTTCTCGTCCATTCAGCAATAACCACGCCCGCCAACACCCTAACATTGGCAAATGTATTCAAGTCATATAAATTTCGACGAAGGCTTTTAGATATTCTAGAATAAACTGTCTACATAATTCTAGCAAGAATAAAGTTTTATTTTTTTAAAACTAAAAGTTTTTATGGAATGAAAAACATGGAAAAGTACGCCAGACCGTTTTCTTTGAAACGTTTTACCTGAATATGAATGTGGGTGTGGGGTGTAGACGTAGGTGTGAATCTTCCTTTCATCCGTATCTACACCTACACCACTCTCAAAAATAGTTCTTGTGCGAAAATTCATCAATTTCACCTTATCTGTCTTCTTCTTCCTGAAAAAAAAAAATAGATTATTGTTCGTCATTTACAAACAAGTAAGACGAGAACTCATTTTCCAGTTAATTTATTTTGTCTGACTCTCAATTACATATTTTCATTGATTTTCTCTTATTTTTCTTATTTAACATTAGCTGAACTCATTTAAATTTCAAAAACTATTACTAAAATACTCAAAAATATTTTTAACCAAAATACAAACGCAAAAAGCTTAAAAGAAAATTTAAAAACTACACAAAAAGCAACGAGTCTAGTTTTTCGTTTTTGTTATTATCATTGTTAACTTGATGTTTTCAAATCATCCACGTACACACTCACATTCACACCCACGAAGTTGGAACCAATGAAAAGAGCTTTTACTCTTAATACATCCTCAATTAACGATGTCATCAAAACGAACATGCTATAGACACCGAATGGAAGAATATTCAGGCAAAAAGGAATGATCACTGCTAACCTATATTCATTTGACGAAGTCTTGGCACATTTGTGCCATATAAAATCCTCACTGTATCGATCACATGGTGAATGCATGCAAGCTGCCGTCCATATTAGTAAATAACCCATGCTAAAAACTGACACAATAATACAAACATACGAATGGCGTAGAGTAAACAACGAGAGTCTTGTGTGATGCGATAGACACGGTTGAGTATAATCAAATATAGTAATAAAATATGTCGGAACAGTAACTGAACTTTTATTCAACAATTGTGAACCAAGTGTCCTAATCACTGTGGTCAAGCAGTTTTCGTCATCAGACGAATTCTTGTCAACAGACAAACGTCTTTCATTAATAAGATACGGGTACTTATATCTTTCATGAGTCCGTAATTTTTTTTCTAAATTTACAAATTGATGAAATTACGTCGAAAAAAAAAATGAAGACTGCCAAAACGGTACTAAGCCAATACATCGTGATAAAGAAAATATTTTGTCTTGCATTCTTGCTAATAATATCCGCATAAAGGGTTGCTGTATCAAAAGTAAACAGAGCATCTGACGAACAATTGTATGTACCATTCAGGCTACTTTTAACAATATAATAATCGGAAGTGCTATTGATAACATATTGTATTACATATGAATCACGATTTTGATACTTGTGATAGTTCTTGAAATTCATAGTTAATACATAGACGATTGAAGCAATATTAAATAGTATCGGGAATAATGGAAAAACTCTTGCCATGAAGCAATTTTTCTTCATATTGACCGCTCAGTTTAGCTTCGTTATTGAGAAAGTAACTCAGTAGATACAATGAATATTTATAGATCGTGTCTGTTTTTCAAGACTGAAGGAGTAGCCAATCAATGATCATATATGTCACTCTCGAAACTATAACCATAATTGCAAGAAAAGTGATATAACTGGGAATTCCTTCATGTCTTTCGTTATCTTTGTGTTTATCATTATTGAAAATACAGAGCTTTTGTTTTCTTTATGACGAAGTTTTGTATAACGATGAAAGCTGAGAACAAGAGAAAAAGTGATTCTTTTCTTAACAATTCTTTGCTTTAGGATTCAACCAATTTGTAATGGGCTTTTGCAGTTTCAGCTGTGTTGTACCTAACAAATTTTCATTTACCATACTTCTTTCAGGGTTGCGTCTGAATATAGATGAGAAGCTTCTCTTCATTCCTATCCCTATAGACACCCACACCCATACCGTAATGCACACAAAAAAGTAAATAACGAAGTAAGACCCAAAGAAATGGTTTTTGTGCTCAAGTGTCAACAAACATCTCCAGTCTCGTCTCTAAGAATAGTTGAGGGCGAGACACCCAGAGCATTCGAAAACTTGTATTTTCTTTTGAATCACCAGCAACGATAAATTGGCTATTTTCGCCTACTCTCCAAATATTTTGCTCCCGAACAACAAAAATCGTTGTCCGACTTGTAAATTTCTCCTTTCAAAAGTATAGAAATTGTTCATAAAATATTTCACTTCTTATAAATCTTAAATGAAATCTGAAATCACTTATTACTCTAAATTATAATTAATGATAAAACAGGAGCAATAACAATGCAAAAATTGCTACATGATAAACCATACATAATTATGGTCGATTCACGTTTATCTGAGCTCTTTAGTCACAGGCATACAACTCTCAGTGAATTCGCAGACGAGAATTCACTTTGAATTTAATACTTTCAAGAACTAGTGCAGTACGATATTTTATTGATATTTTCGATAACAATACAAAAGATATTCAATCAGAAGTTCTATACCATATTGTTGTTTGCCTTTGAAGTATCAAGGACTTTTGGCAAGTTTCTCCAGTTCAGCACGATTTTCATCAGAATTATGTGTGCTTCGTGTACACATATCTGTCCAGCCATCTTGATAGACCCATATTTGCCATCGTGCACCAACAGTAATCTCAGCCAAACCGCAATTGGTTCCTGCAGTGTTACTGTGAACGACGATTATTGAGCCAGATGTAATGCCCTGTCAAACAGTACACGAAAGAATTCAGAAGATCAACAAGAGAAGTTCGCTATTTTCTCACTTTAAATGCTTCTTCAACGATCATTGTATAGTCGGCAATACCGGAAAATTCACTCTGTTTATTCACGTTCACCGTGGTCACGCGTCCAATGAAGATGATCGGTGTTTGTTTGAAATCACGATCTAGTGGTGGTCTTGAAGTACAAGAACAACCAGCAGCTGTACTAATGAATACGAAGAAGAGTATTACAGAGAGCATCGTTCTTCTAGAGCGAGAGTAATGCTGGTTGATTTCTATTCACCCGAATATCACAAAACTGGCCGTGTACGTCTTATTTAAAGGAGCAGCAAAAAAACAAAATAATTGCTGAATTATTTTTTCAAGTAGAATAATGAAAACAATATTGGGCCATTGATGCAGTAAAATAAATTACAACTATGCATGCAATTTTTATGTTTTTACATCACATATGATTGCTCCAGCCTATTATATTATTTCAATTCGAGAAAAGAATTCAATGGGCATAATAGACAAGGAGGCACAAAATTAACCATGAAAAAGAATACGAACAACTCCAGAATAAGTGAAATGATTTGTATACCTTAATCTGACGTTGTAGAACTATGGAAATTTTGTCACAGCGAAATTTCGAAATAGCATGTAGGGTGGAGCTATGTACATTCTATGAGACTTGAATAGGACAAAAAGAAACGTTTTCTCTATTTTTTAATTTATTTATTTTGTAACTCTACATTATTAACATGAATCAGATTGAAAAATATGCTGTTCGTGAAATAATTTCAATGGAAACGTAAATTAATATACAAAATAAATTATAGTTTAGTTTTACAACAATTTTTGGTGATTATACATCGAAGTACAGAAAAATAATTTCTCATAAATATCATATTTATTGAATATAGAATGAGTTATTTCTCTAGAAAACTATAAGTCGGTATTTTCGAGTCTTTGAACCAAATCGATATTTGAATTTGTTGATCTTAAGTTGTTTAGACAATGCATTCAAAGATCCTAATCGAGCTGATTATGCTTCATTATTCTTTTTTGATTTTTTTGATTTAATAGATGAGTAGGTCTTCAATGTATGAAATAGACCACAAACTATGTTCACCATATTCAAAACGTAAAAACGAAATTATGCTTCTATAAATACCACCTTGGCAGACCGGAAAAAATCTCTCTGCTATTAGCATGTTATTGGTAGTATAGATTCGTTCAGATAGACTGGATAAAAGTGTATTTTTGAAGCTGACTGATAAAGGATCTACACTATTCTTTTCTATTGGTACATAAATATCTCTCTATGTGAATGCATTGGATACTCATTCTTGATTGATACGTCAACATGTTGTTTATCGTTTTTAACTTTAGTTTAAGAGAATTAAATACAAGTTCAGTCAAAGTTGGTTTAAGTTATGCGACTTTTTTCCGTAATCAACTCAGTACTTCTATTAAGCCCGCCCTCCACCCCTTAGAAAAGTCAATTTTTTGAAAAAACTCGATTTTGAGATTTATACATATTCTGATAGTGCTTGTAATGAAGTACAACCTAGCATAATTTTTTTTGCCAAAACATGTACATTGGTCTTTTTTTCTGGCGAATTTTTTTCTGAGAATGTGCTACTGTGGAATAAAGGGTGTTTCATAATAACTGAGGATACAGTGTTAATGATATTTTTTATACTTTTGTTTGACCAATAGACCTGAAATTTTTATGATGTATAGAACTAATCGAGATCTATTAGTTCTGAAAGTTTCAGCTCTTTAAGCTATGACAAATGGTAAAATAAAACGATCAAACTGAATACATAAGTTTTCGTAGGGTAGGGTGTGGATGTGTGGGTGTGGGTCTTCTCTTGATTTACGCTCACACCCTCCTCCAAAAAACTTGGATGAAATGGGACGAAAAATAGCAAAGTCGGTTTCTGAGGGGAAGGATGGGGGGCTTAAACAATTCTTCGTTTCTTATTTGATTTTCTCGAAAAGATTACTACATTTAGGTTTTTCATTCTACAGAAATGAATAGTTAACTGCTAAATAAAACAGCATGAAATTCCGGAAATAGATTGGTTCTTTTTTAACTGATGATGGCTCAGATCAGTGTCAAATACTATCTCACTTTCTTGATTTTGAGTGTGACATACAAACCCACACCCACACCCACACCCACACCCTTTTAGGACACCAGTCTACAAAGTAATAAATAGAAATACTAAAAACCGAAAACAAGTCAAACGAAAACTCGTATTGAGCAAAGCTGATCCCTGTTAAATAGTATGAAGGAATTTAGACAAATACTGGTACACGATTATTGGTAAAAGTCATTACCTTATTGTTTATCGTTAGTGAAAAAATGAAACACCTACCATCGTAGTTCATAATGGTATTATTTGTAAGAAAAGATGATAATGCAAGACCTACTTTGGCGCAACACATAGCAGTAGAATAACCATCTCCTTATGTCTAATTTTTTGATTTCTTGTTCAGATTCTTGTCATGATGTATAAAATAGGAGTATGCTGTCTATACTCAACTATTGATTACTAGCGACTACAAACCTCAGTAATTGATTGTTCGGGCTAACATCTTCTAATAGGCTAGTTTTTATACGAAGAAAGAAAACATACGTTAGAAGTGAAATCAATTATGAGATTTCTTGACAAAATAGTGAAGTTGACATCGTTAATGCATAAGTTCGATAGATACTCGATCTAAATTGGCCAAAATATTGAAAACTCAGTCATTGATCCGTAGTCTTTCCGTAATGATAAGTTTTCAAATTTTTTCAAGATTTTGTTTTGCATAAAACATTCGAAATTTTTCGCAAATCGGTCATAAATTTGAGGAAATGGGATTTGAACATTGTCTACTGTTGCTTGATGAAATTCAATCATCATTTGATCAATGTAGAACGACAGTTATCTTTTGTCGTGGTGATCCTCTCCTCAATTGACTACCACTTTGTTGTCTTGGATCGCAATAGATGCATTGTATCTTTCACTAGTGCATGTTCATCGAATGCTACCATTCATATTGTATTTTTGAACTCGATATAAATCGGTGCCAATTTGTATTGTCAGAGCACCTCGTTGAGTTTCTGTCAGATTGAATTCAATTTGGATTTTCATCTTGAATCAAACAAATGCAACAATCATGCATTCATCAAACTCAGCAGATTATTACAAAACAAATCAACTAGAGACTGAATAAAAAAAGTGTAAATATAACAATTTCTGATTGAAAACAATCTTAGGTTCGATCAGTGTTCTTAAGTTAGCAGTCGAACAGCTAATAAAACCAAATTGTTCAAATAGTACCAATGAAAACGAAAATGTCAATGAATACAAAAAAATGTTACACATCGTACTTATAAGCAAAATCGATGGGGGTAAAACTATCTCTCATGATGATAGAACAGTATTTTAAAAGTAGTGTCAAATTTGTCATCAGCGACAAGAAATGAATCAAAACGAAATCATGTTGTACATCTGATTCGTTAATACAATACAACTTTTCAGCAGAATCATCCATGATGATGAAGAATAGTTCGACTAAAATGATTGATTTTTTGTCAGTACTGATCAGAAAACATTTAATTGTTACTTTTTGACGACATCCACTCTTTCAAAAGTAATGTTTTTCAAACAGCAGACAAAGAGAAAACTAGAGAGAAATGAGTGTAAGTGTGGGTCTATATATTGAAACCAAAGTATAGTTTTTTCTTATAGAAACTCTAGAAATCAAATAGAAAAACACAATTTTTCTTATTTAGATGCTTGTACTATCTCAACTTGTTAACTATACTGTTCTTTGTTTTCGACGAATCATTTTGCCAAAGAGTGAGAATCCTCATTCACATTCTTCGTACAAAACACCACCAGTCAAATTATTCTCTTCCTCGATAAAACTCGTTTATGTGTACGATCACTTTCATGATCGAACAATTCGTCAACTCGATTATAAGCTAGACAACAGAGAATATTTACGTATAGAGGTAGACTAGCATGGCTGTTGTTTCAATCTTGATTTCAAAAATTGGTGCGTATATATGTTGGTCAAACTCTAGTCTTCTTTATCTTTGTTAATTGAACTGAAAGTTAAAGATTGACAACGAATTTCTGGTTGGATAAATATCTATAGTTGAGACTAAATGTTTCAAAATTTGAAGACATTATAATAGATGATATTGACATCTAAATTTACTAATCGTCAAGAAACAAACAAAAGATGCTGTAAATATTCAATGAATGTGTGGTGGACAAAAAATTCAAACGTGCAAACGAATAAACTTGACACTCGAAGCAAAAACTAAAAAAAACAGACCGAAGTTATCTAAAATTCAGCACCTTACTTGACATGAATTAGATGTTTTCCTATACTTTCTATTCTTTTCCTTAAAGAGTAATACAAAAAATGCTTTTTTTTATTGTTATCATTTGACAATGAAATACACGATGATTTATATAAGGTTTTGTCAACTTGATAGTGCGTGATAAATGTTGAGAAGTAGATTTCTGAGAAACTTTGTTACATCAGAACTTTGTTTATATTTCTTTACAAGGATAGATCTGGTGACAAGATCCCTTTTATATATTCGTATTAGTTTATTGTGAGTTTTTTTGTTAAATAATGAAAATATTCTTCGAAAATCGGCTGCGAAAAAAATATTCGCAATTAATGAAGAATCTTCCATAACAGGAATGACCAAGATACAGTTGTTCGGTTTACTCCTCATCATTAATCATTCATCTGGCAAGCTGTGAAATAAATAGCTTAGACAATTTAAATGAATAGAATAAATGAACCATGAATATGTGAAGAATATCTACGGTGTATTCTTCTGTTTTTTTTTGCTTGTGTTGTTTTGTTTCTGATCATGTAACAAAAGTAAGTGATAGATAATTCGAAATAGCGAAACACCTTCTATTAGTTGATAGAAGAATTTTTTTTTCAAAACAAAATATCAATGAGTAATATGTTTATTAATACTTTTTATCATTTATTAACTTGCCATATGTTTCTCATCTACAACATAAGTCTTAAAAGAATTTTTTGTAAAAAAAGCTTTAATATTTTGATGAGCATTCATCGATTTTGAAACATTTCAATATGCGGTGGATGATGGAAAAACTGACTATAGCAGTTGCATGTGCAACATCACTCACACCCTAATTCAGGTTTCTCTTACGATCTGTAATGGTCTACTAGTAACTATCTAAAAGTATCAACAATAATCAACTTCAATATAATCTTTGGACTTAGAGACTTGAAAAATTTTTTGAGACTTTTATAATTATTATGAAAATTTTATTGAATTATTTGTAACCCACGCCCTTTGTGCAAAGAGATTTTCTTCAATGCATTAGAGTGTTAATTTATAAGTAAGAATGTATTTATCGTAAACACGAAATTATATACTGTTGCTATTCGACATTCAATCCTTTTGATCTCCTCATATCATTGAAGGAGAATTGTTTCAATAACAAAAAGGTTTAAAGTATATAAAGATAAGTACGTAAGATTGTAATAACTCGATATCAACTTAATATGAGAATAACTATTAAATATTTTTCTTTATATGCATGAATACAACACATGAATTTGAAAATTAAAAAAAATAATTTTTTTTTCTATTGCCTCTTGCTTTTCAATATCATTGCAGATATAAATGTGTTTTGTTTTAGTTTCGCGTGTAAAATGCACATGTTAGGTGGTGGATAATTTTTTGTGCACATCTTGTGTAGACCTATTCGTGATAGAATATGAAATGGAAGAAAAATATTAAAAAAATACAACCAAAATAACGAACGGTAGAAAATGCATAGAGTTACCTTGCTGCTAAGGTTAAAAATATGAATCATCCAGTAAAACAAGTGAAAAACATCACATGTACACCAACAAGTCTAATTAAAGGTTTTCAACATCAAATTTTCTCTATATATTGGGTTTTATTCATTTTATTGTGGTGAGTAATCACCATAGATGAAATTATCTTTAATGACTAGATGTAAAAATTTAACCTCAAATTGTAATAATTATTTGGCTTAAGAAAAGAGTTTAATTATTATTGCAGATATTTAAGGTGTGAAATCCTCTGCTATATTAGTTGAAGTCGTACCTCATACTTGTTAGTATATGGTTTAACTCAAGGTCCTGACATAAGATCAGATATTCGTCAAAGACAACAGATTTGTATCAGGTAATAAGAAAACAATTCAATTTGATTCCACTTTTTGTTTTAAATAGTCATAGTTCGTTTGAAGATGTTGCTGGTTTTATCTTTTCTCAACTTTTCTTCTATACATTCAAAATACAGCTAATTGAATTCGATCGATTTCGAAATTATCATTAAGATTCATATCTCAATAGATTATAAAAGCACAAGCCAATGCTAGGAATTGAGATTAAATCATTAAAAGTATTCTTGATAATTAGTATAGTAGCTAACTATGTTATTTACGCTTAATTTGCTTTTGGTATCTAATGATGTAGTGATTGACAACATATATTATGAGAAAAAGTGTTTTTCAAACTGGGGTTTTCATGTTTTAGCGTGTTCAAAATTTCACACCTTTAAAACTAAGAAAAGAGCAAAAATTTAAAAGAGTCCTACTCGTTTTAATAAGTTCATAGTTTCTTAACATGTTGAAACATGGTAAAGAAGTCGTACAAACAGAATTTTTAACGTTATTTTTATTGTTAAAATAATGTTATAACATAGATCTGAACGAATTTATTTTTACTGTCTTATCTGTTTAGATACATTACTATACGTAACAGTCAAGGAAAAAAGCTTCTAGGTACACAGCAATGGCTAGGGTGTGGGTGTGGGTGTCCGTACACATGAGGAGAACTCTCACATTCAATATCATATCCATTTGAACCCACACCCACAGTGACAATTGTTGATGTCAATGCTCTTATAGTTTCAGAGCGCATTCTGCAAATAGAACGTCACTGCCTTTACAATAATCTCGCCAATGTAGGCAACATTCAAGTGTCAGTTGGCTTTCTCTCGTCTTTTATTATCTAAATGCTGTAAAACTATAATTATGCCACTAATTTTGCTGCAAGGTGGTAGTTACAAACGAAAAACAATATGATTTTCGTATTCGTGTTTCACATTAGGTAACCAACTCGACATGCATCGACGGTGGCTAGCTCTAATCTTCGGAAACGATGACTACGGTGGTAAATACCAATTAGACAGCTATATTCTTTACACTAGTCTTGTCGTCTTGAAGGATGTGTCATATATCGCCCGTATTCTTATGAATATTATTTGATATCTTGTTGTACTTGATACGCTATGTGTAAAAATACTGAAATTCGTACACTATCTGGTATGATCAGTGTGAAGATGAAATTAATTCTAGAATGAGCCCCTGTAGGAGAAAATATAGATTAAAGAATCTTAATAGAGTAGTAAACGTAAATCAAGTGAATTGATAAATAGGAGGAAACGTATTAATAAACTCTCTTTAATTAGCAATATTCAATAACTTTATTGCATTTCGAAACAGACAGTGTGTCGAGAATATGAGCGTACCAAAAGACAAGACTAACTCGAACCCATATGTACCAACTATCACACACTCACATCCTCCATGCCCAAAGCTAAATATGGTTTCACATAAAAGAAGTTGGGCAAGAAATTTTTAAACATGGTCACTCAAAAATTTAATTTTTCTGAGGCAAAGTGAATGTTTTTTGCTTGAAATAAACTGTCACCTACTTTTCTGTATAAATGTGATGAAATTTGACAGAATAGACGAATCAGAATTAAATCGAAACAAATAAAAAACAAACATGACTTTTTGTCCGTTTTTGAAAGTAATCGAAAAGCACACATAAAAATCCACTTAATTATTTTTGTTCAAAAAAACGTGAAATTCTTGTATGTCTGTCTTCGTAGAAATAAGACAGAAACAAATAAAATGTTTTTTAAATAATACTTTGGTAGAAAATATTTAAGAATGAAAGATAAATGAACAAAAAAATGCCTATTAAAAATTAATTTAAAAAATCATCCTATTAGATATGTATATGTATAATCATTAAAAAAATAATGAAAAATGCACAAAAAAAAATGTTCGAATATACATCATCTGATCTCAAATATTTCAAAAAATAGCAACATTCCTCTTTTCTTCCATTGATGAATAATAAAGATAGCTAGATGTATTATTTGTTCATATCGAAGATATTCGCGTGAATATTCAGTCTTACAAATCTATGGTAGCTATATAAGATCAATCAAAAATTCTCATAGTCGTTTGGCATACTACTTCAAACAAGATCTTTTAAATTTGACAATGTCTCCGAATCGAGATCGATAGGTAGTCATAAAATTGATGACTATTTAAAAATAGTTGAACTTTGAGTTCAACAAAAAAATTCAAATAACTTTAGTTTGGCATCTTGAAGCTTGATTTTGATGAAAACAATACAAAGGTGTGCACGTGTTGATATCTCTGCGTTAATGAAGTTTAAGATGTGAGTCATTTTTTCACCCACTCACACACACCGTCATGAATTAATTTAATCCAACTCAATCCAGCTGCATCTCTGATTTACAAGTGTGCGATAACAGAATGACAGAAAGCAATTGTGAGTTCGAATTGGAATTTGCACGCGAAAATGTATACCATTGAATGCTTTACAACGATACATCAGTCAACATGTTTATTGCACGTCATGTTGGAAAGAAATATGCCTACGATAAACAATTTTTGTGCGCATATAAATCATTTTACTGAATCATTAGAAGGCAAAGAAAGAAATTATTTTCACTGTTAGCATATTTTATTATTCAAGTCCACTGGTATTTATTTTTTTTTTCTGCATCATTCATCCTCAAGCATTGATGGTTTGCATGTGTGTGTGTGTGTATGTCTTTGGAAGAATTCGAAGGCAACATTAAAAGAATCTCAATCAATCTAATAATAATGGATGCAAAGATAGAATTTCTGGTCACTTATCGTAGAAAACATTCCTTGAGAACATATTTCCAAATCTATAGATTTGCTTGCTTAATGCAATCCATATTTTGATATAAATTGAAAATATTAAAGATAACTTTTTTTGTTTATTTTTAGAATTGAATTATACCGATATACCGTCATCATCTTAGATTTTCGTCTGTGCCTTTAGTTTGTCAATTGATCATTGATTTCAAATTTCTTTCCAACATCAATTTACAGGTTGAAGATAAAAGCTACAAGTATGGTTTTTTATTCATCATATCAATGCTTCAGTTTCTTTTTTCACCTTAAACAGAAACGAAAAAAAACAACAATTCATTGGACACTCCTATCAGCATTGTTCTTCTTCCTTTCTTTTGTATCCATTGCAACGTTAAATTCTGTTTAACGTAGAATTACTGGCTAAAACAAAAATGGCGACAATACCTAAGTTTGATAGCACGCCTTTTCTATCTGGTAGTAGCATAGAAGGTGCTGCTTATACACGTCATCTGGCCCAACAAACTATGCAAGACCTTGATGTCATGTTAGTTGAAGGAACAATAAAGTCACCTGATTGTATTCTCAAACTAGAGAATGTAGCGGGATTTGTTCAAGTCAAATATGATGAAAGATTCATTGAACAATATTCAACAACACCGTTCTCTACCAAATTAAATCAGCATGGAGTATTATGTATCAATGGTTTCAAAATGAAAGAGAAGTACTGTGGTATCGATGTAAGTTCATCGTTTCCAAGATCAATAGTCCAATCGGTCGGTGAAACGAAAACAACATCCGCAAGTGCAGAAATCAAATACAAGAGTATTTTCGGAACGACATCACTTAGTGAACAATTCGAAGCAGTACTAAATTTCATTCGACGAATGCAAGTACAAGAAGATGTCGAACAATTTCAGTCGAAATATATCTCGATTTGTGAAATGTTACGAAAATCAACATCACAAAATGTACTACCTATGATCAGACCAATTGCCGATGCCGAACGTCTGAATGAAAAAATGTTTCAAGATGTAATTAGTTTAACATTTCCTATGTATCATATACGAATACCAGCAGTCAATCATGTGCGATCGAATGTTCTACTTGAATTCTATGAAAAATATAAATATCTTGGAGATGCGTCCATGTTGGAAGATTATATCGAATATGGATTATTGTCGATGAATTTCGATGCCGATTTGGTACCGGCTTTGAAACTAGACTTTTGGCCAGATGATATGAAAGACTTTCTCAATAGAATTCAAAATTCTCGGCCGAAACTATACGAAATCATTTATGAGCAAGCATCTATGCATCTCATACCGAAATGGTCCAGTAAAACACCAGATGCAGATCAAGAACTTGAATTTCGGTATTCTTTTTCAGCAATCGAACGTCTAATAGCTAAACATCGTACACGAGTAGAACTAATTCTAAATGGTGTTGCACGAAGTATTTATCATCGGTATCTGAAGAAAGAACCATGCCTCGAAGATCACACAAAAACCATCGTACCATCTTATTTTGTCAAAACAACAGTATTATGGATGTGTGAATTGTATAATTTGAATGATCTTTGTTCTGAGGCGAGCAATGATGAAGCCATCGCCTATATTATGGCAAGAGAATGGTTGGACTATGCTAGATCAATATTATGTTCTGGTCGTTGTCCACACTATTTTATTAATTCTTTCAATCTATTAGAAACGTGTTCGTCGGCATCGTTAACACGAGCAGCATCTATTCTAGAACATGAGGTTCGTTTGAATGAGGACATTAAAATTGATGTGTTAATTAAACAGGACGAATTGGCGAGTAAACGACAACAAACAACGGAAAATTGGTTACGAAACATGAAAGTAAGAGATATTTTAGCTGCAGTGAATGATTATCGATTGTTGAGAGAAAAGTGGCTTTGTCAGCCAGAAGAAAGTCAAGATGAAGGTGATGTACCCGGTTGTCTCTACACCTTGAGTCAACTACGAGCACTAGACGGTGATAAACAACAGAACTGGAGCACCTTTCAGCGTTTGTTCTTGACGGCTGATCAAACAACATGGCTACCACCCATTTGGGACGAACAAGTAGCCGAATGTTCTGTATGTGATTTCGTCGATGATCTTATCGGATTAGGTTCATGCATGAAAAACATCCTAGAGGCCATGGAAAAATCAGACATTGAACAAACATTAATTAGAAATACTCGTGAAGGAGAATTCTTTTCCGCAGAGAATCTTATCAACGATCTCATTCAACCAGCTAATCTAATTCAAAATGGTTTAATGACATCTTGGTTACCTATGTTCACGTGCTCCTATTTCAATGAATCATCAGCAAGTGTACCATCGATTCGACATCGTTCAGTCGTTGCTAACCATCCCACTGGACCGTTTCAAGACATTCTGCAAGGTCGTACATGCCCAACACCCTTAGACCCTCAATCACGACAAACATATCAACAAGCTTGTCAAAGTGTCTCATATCGATTTCTGGATCTTTTGAGTGATGCCCCTAATGCCGATATGACATTGGAAGATTTAGTGAAATATTATGAACCACCATCGAGAACAACTCAGGTAGACCGGGAATTATTCTCACTTTTTTTTTGTTAATAATCTCTTCTTTCTAGCCTGCGATGACATCATCCGTTGAAGAACAAATTCTGTCACATGCAACAAATTCTTCCTCGACGAATAAAGAAAGTATAACACTAATTGTTTTCGATCCTAATCGTATTATGACTAATATAACAGATGAAGAGTATCGTACTATCAATGATTATGTGTTAGTCTATGGAGTGAAGTCTCAATTACTTACTTATGTACAATCGATCAGTGAAGAATTTATTTTCATAATTCTTTGTCAATACTCATCAGATGAAGAGTTTCTATCTCAATTACACCACTTGAATCAGATTCATTCCATTTTCATCTATTCTACACAGCAACAGGTTGATGATCAGCTCATGAACAAATATTCAAAACTAATTGGTACCTTTACAGAACAAAAAGTATTATTCGAACAAGTACGGACAAGCATTGAACAACCATTTACATTGGGATTTGGATTTTATGATCCACAGCAGCAATTGACAACACACACACATCTATCAAAAGAGAACGTCATATTTTTCTGGAATTTGTTATTGAAAGATCTATTAATAACAGAACAACCAACAGACAGAATTTCCATTATTCAAGACTGTCGAAAATATTATTGTCAAAATACTGTAGAAATGGAAAATATCGAACGATTTGAAAATACATACAGTTCTCATAATGCCCATGAATGGTATTCGAAACCTTGTTTTATGTCCAAACTTCTCACCAAAGCATTTCATACAGCCAACACAGAACGATTGAAATCATTCGACTTTTTTATCCATGATCTAAGTTCGACTATGGATAAATCGTCTAACATTGAACAACTCTATTGTACAAGACTGATAGAAAAAACTCAATTCGAAAAATTATTGGAAAACATCGGTCAATTAATGACATTCAGTGGATTTTTACTTGTTTATCGTTTATTCGATGAGACGGTATCATATCGAAACGAGTCACAAGTAATGGTCGGTTTCGAAATACACAACGTGCCAACATCTATTGTTCATTTGATCGACTCGACTAGAGTAATAATCAATTTAGGTGCTACATTTAAACTGAACTCACTTGATTTCGAAGATAAGTTGGGAGTTTGGATTGCTCGCTTGAGTTTCAGTCCTGAAGGGGTACACATTGCACAAAATTATATTACTGTACAACAAGAGACAATGGAACGAATGACATTACCAGTCATAATGGCTAATTTATTATTCAAAATGAATGGTTTCTCGACGGCGAAAAATTATTTAGATAGTTTGAAAAATGAAGATGAAGCTGTTATCTATCACAATTATGGAATTCTACACTATGAAAAAGGTGAATATTCATTAGCACTCGATAATTTTCAAATAGCTTATGAATTAATGATTAGTGATGGACGGATTCAAGATAGCGCCTTAGTCTTACATGATATTGGCTATGTTTATAACATGAAAAAGGAGTTCAATGATGCCTTAGATAGTCATCGGAAAGCCTTGGAAATCATGCAAACTCATTATCCAGCGAATGATGTACTTATTGGTATCAGCCTTTATAATATTGGCCGTACGTTAGTGAACATGGATGATCATAGTCAAGCATTAAGTTATCATCAAAATGCCTTAGCAATCTTTGAACATACACTGACTTACAATCATATATTCATGGCACAAAGCTTACACAGTCATGGGGTTGTGTATTTCAATATCGGAGACTATCATCAAGCACTTTATTATTATACGAGAGCATTGGAACTGTACGAAACGATTGTACCTCGAAATGAACATTGCATTCTGATGGTGAAAAATGCATTAGAAACAATTCAGAAACTTCTTACCTGATATAGGACGACTCAATGACTTTTTTGTTTTGGTGTTTGACATTTGCGCTTATTAATCTAGAAGAAAAATTAGATTTTCTTTGAGAGAATAATTTTAGAACTTCAAATACATCACTTATGCAGTATGGCTTCAGATGAAACTGACTGATCATCAATGGTATTTCATTCGATTGAACCTTCAAAAATATAGCGTTTATTCATCGAATTTTATATCAAGCTGAAGATAGCGAAGTCTTTTCTAGAATTATGGCAGAATAGCCTCGAATGATGTGTCGATTGGATATTTCCTCATCCATGTGAAGCTAGAGTTTTGAAAACTGTACCAGATATAGTTTCTTGGCAGGGCAACATGACCTTGAGGTTCTTTTGGTATTCAGTTGCCATTAAGATTTTCTGCTCAATACTCTTTCTGATTAAATAAGTGAATGGAGTAACAAAACTTAGTAAAACTGAAATACAAAAAAGTATGAAGCACTACTAGACATAATCAATGATCTATCTGCTCGCAGAACTAAATATAAAAGCTTAAATAAAGTCGATTAACGAAGAAAAGAGAAAAATAAAAAGAAACAGAAAGCAGGTGAATCATATAAGAAAATTGCCTCACAAACAAGTGACACATCATGGTTGAGTCATATCGAATATTTTTATTCGTATCCCCTACGTGCAATACAGCGTGAAGATGTCCTTGATCTCTTGTGTATCTACCTGTTATTCTTTACAAAAGCTTTTTCTTATTGAAATATTTTGAGGCACAGAGAAGATAGAACAGGAAGTATTAGAAGCTTTAATGCTAACTACGATATAGAAGTAAGTATTGAAGTTCCTTGGAACTTTGTTTTTCATGTCTAGGTGAATATCTATAATTTTTCATGAATAGTACTGGAGAATAGTCGGATGACATGGCAAAAGAAAAAAAATGATTAATGTTCGTTTTGTAGAATACACAATGATCAAGTTTATTGCACAATAAAGATTAAAAAAAAAAAGATTCTTTTACGTTCAGTGAGAAATCTGTTCATTTATTTATCTATTAATCCATACTCGTATGAGACGAGATCGATGTCGGCTAATTGAATATGTTTCTGGTAAAGAATTTCTCAACCATTCTACAAATTCATCGTTCGAATGTAACAATGAATTATCATCTTGACATTCAAAATTCAATGCTCGAAGATTATGCATTTTATCTATAAGATCAAGGATAATTGTTCGATTTTCAATACGAATTATGAGAACTTCACATTGGTGGCCAAGTAATGAATCAGCCAATATAGAACATTGTGCAGCATTCAAATAGCAATTTGTTCTAGAACGATAAGGTTTCAATTGAAGTCGACGAAGTGATGCGTGAGTAATATTCAATTGTGCCAATAGTAAAAATGATATCGCATCAACACTTAGAAAATCTAGACGAGCTGCTCGATTGAGTAAATCTTTCAGTTGATATTCGGATCGGTAATTTTCTTGTGTTTGAATTACTTCCAACGAAGTTAAATGATCTAATCTTGGAATGATATTCCAAAAGTTATTATCAAAAGGTAGTTTCAATGTTAGACGATAAATTTTCGGATAACATATTGAAAATAAAGTGGAATTATCTATACATCCTTTATAAAATACATCTTTTACTCGATCATAAGAGTTATAATCGCGAACATTAGGACAAGTTGTTTTCGACCATCGATTCTGATAAATAACATACGTATCACCAAAACAATAGGGTAAAGTATAAAGAACGAATATTTTATTAGTATGTTGTGGCCAATCGCATCGAACATACCATTGATGATCATCGATCCAAAATGGAGTTTGAAAAGTACTTAAAAGATCTTCGAGATGTTCTTCTACATGATTATATCTCAACGATAAAACTCTAATGAGAAATCGAAATGTTTTAATCTTACGTATATAATTAATTAAGATTTGTTTCCATTGATTTCCATTCAAATTAATCGATCCTGTTTCGAGTTTTAAATGTAGTAAATTAGGCATGCTTTTCAAAATATTTGTTAAAGTAGATAGTGAACCACCGAAATGAAGTTCTAAACTAGTGATAAATGGAGCAGTAAGAATTCGATGTGATTTAATATCAATACTTTCTCCAAATGTAATGCAAAGATGTTGAAGATAAGGTGTCAAACTTAATAAGTGAGTAAGTTCTATTGAAGAAAAAATATAATCTTTTATAGACAAATATTCCATAGACTTTGAAATTATTGATAATCCACAAAAACTAAGTCGCAATTCAAAAGTCATATCCAAAGTACAATGTGTAAGGTTGTTTAAATGCCAAATATTATAAATTAATTGTTTAGGATCCTTATCATTTGTAAAGTTACATTCGATGATCTTTAAATGAGTAAGATATGGAAGATAAAAACAATCTGATGTAATATTAAAAATTATATTTGCTGAATCAATTTTTTGAAGTAAAAGTGATCGTAAATGAGTAAATTCATCGATTGTAAGACAATAAGCAATGAGATGTTCATATAATTGTGGAGTTTCTTCACCATCAGATAAACAAAGTGAACTAACATGATCAATAATTAATGGTAAATATTGTTTACATATAAGATCAAAATTTGATTTCGATATAGAACGAAAATCTAGACGATACGATCGAAAACAAATGAAAAGAAGTCTGTTGAAACGAGTATTGAGATCTTCAAAAGTATGGATGAGTTCAATGGGATCGAAATATTCGAATAGATCGTGTAATAATTCATTAGGTAAATATTCCAACTTCATCTTTCTATTTTTTGCAATAGAAAACTAAAACGTTGTATCGCATGCTTTTTCGTTTGAAGAAAAGACACATGTCTGTCTTCATAGTAACGTGTTTTTTCAATTTTGCATTCGTTCTTTGATTATTATTTCAAGTATTTCTCGTCAAATGACTCACAGTGTTCTCTTTCGTAATAACAATACTGGTTGGATAGGAGAAAAACAAACCCTTATTTAAAACTATGACTTTCTCTACCTTCTTTACATTAGCAATGTTGGAGGAAGATAAATATTTACTTTGGAAAGTTCCAACGGTACAACTCGTTTAGTTCTGACAGATATATCATGAACATTGACAAATGTACAGAGATAATCAGCCAATATCTTTATCGATACATAAAAGACAGGTTGCAATATTTTTTGCATAACTTGCTTTAGTTCAAGATATTAAACTGAAGTTTTTACCATTGTATTGAGAGAGATATTCGACGTCATCACTCTACACAAGATTTACTAGACGGTATTCGAGTTTCGACTCGAATACGAAATGCGGTGCGAAGCACAAGAGCGGAGAATCCAAAAATCGAAATCGAATAATCGCTCTAAATATCATCGGAATTCATTCTCACGTTCTACGTCAAGGTTGAAAGCTAATTGAAGATTTTTCTGAATTAGGCATAAGCGAGAAAAAAAGACTTTATCGAACACCTGATCTAATCTAGATCGGATGTGAAATTCATCCATTATAAAATGCATCACTAGAGAAACTCTACTAAAGCATATCGACAGACTTCTAGAAACAATTATGTATTGATCGATTAATTCTCTCAATGATTCATTATTTAATATCAGTGGTATTAACAGCTGTTTCACATATGAGAAAATTCAGTGGCGTCTAACTTTGTTTTAATTTTTCGATTTTAAATATCTCAAAGCGAAAATGGAAATAAATACTTTCATATTTGTCTTTTCGGAAGATGATTATAAGGAAATGAAACATATTCAGAATAATATCGATACAAAAGGTACTAGGTCGATCTCTATATTTTGACTTCGCGTTTAATCGAGTGTTTTGTGAGTTTCCATTCTAGAGATCATCCCGTCACGAAATCACAAATTTGAGGCGTACATATAGTAAAAAGGAAAGAAAAAAGACTAGATTCAAAGATAATTCAAAATTTATCTAAGTTGGAGATTATCAATAAAAACAAAAGATTTTTATCGAACAGCTAATTTAACTAACATCCAACATGGAACTCATCCTATATGAAATTGATCACGAGAGAAAAATCTAGTAAAACGTATTGACGGACTTGTAAAAACTGTTGTTTATTGATCGATTAACCGAAATCGAATAATCACTATAAATATCATTCGAATTCGTTCTCACATTCTACCACTAGTTTCAAAGATAATTCAAGATTTTTCTGAGTTGTGGATAATCGATAAAAAGAAAAGATTTTTATCGAACAGCTAACTTAATCAACATCGAACATGAAAGTCATCCGTTATAAAATTGATCAGTAGAGAAACTCTACTAAAACGTATCGACAGACTTCTAGAAATTGTTGTTTATTGATCAACTAATTATCTCAAAGATTCATTATCTATAATCAGCTGTAATTACAGCTGTTTCATGTATAAACAAAGATAATGGCGCCTAACTTTTCATGTTTTAATTATCTCGAAGCTTGAAAATAATCGAAGTCCTAAAAAAACTTGTCTTTTTTCGACCCTGTTTGTATTCGAATGAGACATCGTAACGAAAATCGAAAAAAAGGAGGTTTCGGTTCAATCTCGACGCNTTTTTTCGAAATCGAGAGAATTTGTATTGTACGATGACGAATCCGAATAAGTGTCACATTCGTTAGTTCTAATGAAATCAATCGGAAACATGGGATCATCACTAGCTGGTGAGATTATACATAGGCGATACATGTTCTGAAAGATTGATGTTTAGCTTCAGAAAATGTTTTTAAATCAATTTTTATTAAAAATATTATCAGGGCAAAACAATTTGCTCTGCCCTGCCCTGATGACGGTCTCTGATTCGAATAGTATGAATAAATCTTGATGACACATTTTAAGCGATATTCGTATGAAAAACATATGACATCTCCTGTTTTTATAATAAATATTGTATGTAATGTTCTATTGACATTTATTCATACTATTCGCATGTATCTGAGAAACTGACTACAAGGTTTTTGTGGAGCAAACTTCCCTCTACTAAACCTACAATGTCACATTTCACCAGAATATAGAAATTTT